AACATAATCAATTTTCCTTCCTTCTTGCAGCGCGCCCAGACACGCCCTTAATTAACCAAAAAAATTACATCTTTATTAATAATAGATTTATTCTTAAACAAAACTATTAAATATAAATTACGCAAACGTGCATTGCACGTTGCTTGCACCTAGTATCTATATATATATAAATTTTTTTTTTTTTAAAACTAAAGTACTATATTGTAGTGCACTACAAAGACTAGAGACCACTCTTAGCAAATTAGTCCCTGTTTGGTTAGCTAAACATCAAATTTTTAATAGTAATGAATTTGTTGTTAAAAAATTATAAAAATTGTATATCCTTTAAAATATGCGGTTAAATAATCAATTAAATAAACTAAACCAAGGTCTTTGAATTAAACTCAAAACATCAAATTGAAGAGAAATAATAACCTTCAAAATCCTCAAAACATCAAATTGAAGAGAAATAATAACCTTCAAAATCCTCTAGTCAAACCAGCTCAAATACTCTGATAAATGTAAACTAAATTCCTTTTTAAGTTATTTATGTTATTAAATATCGCTTTAAAGTTATTTTAACTAATAAGAAAATTTTAACTTCTTTTTAAATAAGAAATAAGCCATGTTTGGTACACATTTTTTAAAACTCATTTTTATTCAAACTCATTTTCAATCACGCATTTTCTAATAGAATAATTTTAAACAAGGACCCATAATTTTTCTTCCTTTTTAAAGGCATTTTTTTAAGAAATCACTTTTCACAAAATTTATTCTCAAAACATCTACATCAAACATACCCTAATTTTGAGCACAAATGCACATACCTGCAACATGGGCAAAGTATACTGGCCAATTAGTTTTTTAAGCCCAAATAAAATGGCCCAATTAAAATTTACCCAGTTTAAATATGAGAAAATTACATAAAATCAGGGGTTTAGCTTGACCTTTTAAACAATCAAGTTTGAAGTTTATTTTTGCAAAAATCAGGTACTATATTAAAACTCTAATTTATCAATCAAGTCTCCACCCCTTCTCCCTCCTCCCCTCCCTCCCGTATCCATCCAAAGAGCATCGCGCGGGATTGCTGGCGTCGCAAGCTGCCTTTCACAGCAGCGCCTCGACGCTGCTGCTGCGGGTGTGTGGTGGGGAAGAGTTTTGGATCGTTCGTGACGTATTCGCCAGGTGATTTCGTGTATTTCTCCATTGATGATTCTCTGTCATTTCTTCTTTTCAAAACGGTGTGGCACTCTGTGGTGATGATTTTGGATCTTTGTTTTGCGGTGGTTGTGCAGTGATTTTGTTGGCGGTGGTCGTTCTGTGGATCTAATATTTTGGTGGTGGTTGTGATGTTGGCTGTGGTGGTGGCGGCAATATTGTTGGTTCTGGAGATTGTCATGATTTTTGTTTGAGGTCGATTGGATCTGGTGACGACGATTTTGTTGTTGGTTGTGTGTAATGACTGTGGCTGTGGTCGTGGCGGCTGTCATGGGTGGGATGAGATAAGTTGGGGTGGGTGTCTGTAACCTAAAAATTGTGATCGTAACTTACTGTAATAGAGTCGTGACCAGTAAAATTTTTGATTTTTTTTCAAATTGTGACCATAAAATTCTTGATTTGTGACCAACGAAATCAATTATGACCTATAAATTTTTTGATTTGTGACCTCGAAATAATCTGTGACCAATTAATTTGATAAGGACATGAAATTAATTTTTAACTAAT